CCCCCCCCCGCTTTCATTACAATTCCGTCCTCAGTTTGTTTTCTCTCTCCCTTTCCTGATACAATAGTCTATATATATATATATATATATATTGGTATCACCAATAGTTCGGCTCTGGAGCCGAGAAGTGTAACTCACCCAGGTTGCTCACGTAGCCATGGAACCGTACAGTAGTGACGGCACATGTAATCGGCAACCGGCTTACACGTCCACAGCGTAAATGTTACAGGACTAAGCCGGTTCACCTTCGATACTCGCCTAATTTTTGCCAAACGGACAGTTCAGTGTGGTTGGGGATGAATATCTTGGTTTCGAATTGTCGCCCTATTCCTTGAACCCCGTAAAATGATCTTGCTCGACCAAGCGTCGAAATTAGCCTATGCTGAGGAAGCCCCACGCACTGTTTCCCAAAGGCAGTGTTTTCACATCAAAGTAGGAGGACGAAAAGTCAGCATCCGGGGCTGTAACCGGGTTGATAAACTCTGATTCCAAAACACCTAAGAAGAGGCGTGCGAACCATACACATCTTCCTGTTTGTTGCAGTGGTCACAGGTGCAATGGGGCATCGAGGTTGGTCGGGCATCTTTGACGTTTGATCCCAATAGATCGCCGTTTTTGCACACCGTCCCGCTCGCGTGCAGGGGTCATTCTTTGGCTAACCGAGGGCTCCGGTTTTGAATCCTGAAAAAATCCATCTTTGACCCGAGCAACTTGTGATTCTTCTACCTATGAGCTAATCAAAGAATCATTTTTTTGCTGTAATGATTGTTCTATCTTGATTCGCTCGATTCAGACTAGTGTGAAATATATTTCGACCATTGCACCTCATCTGGTGGATGCATCTCTGACAATGGTTCGGCCCGCTTGCTGAAGGTTCGATTATCGAATGACAACTTATGCTACTGCGATATTCCGTTTTCCTGCCACATTATTGAAGTCTGGTTGAGCAACCGCATCAGCCGTGTCGAAGTTAGTTGCACAATTTTAAAGAATCGCGGTTGACCGCTGGAGACAGTGTTCGACCTCCCCAGATATCGCATATCTACTGATACGCCTCCTCGATAACCGATGTTTGCTGTGGCAGCTACACGGGTGGTATATCTAGGCTGGTCAAAGTAGGACCTAGCATAAGGATGTGAATACGTTAACCAAGGTACTCAGTTATATCCGTTGCGTTCGGTTTCCCTTTTGAGCACCTCCGTCCCGATCAGCGGCATCGGTTGGTTGAGCCAAAGTGACATTCGTGAGTGTAGTAAACAGCGGCGCAAGCTTGATCTACCCGAATCTCTGTCTTCACCTTGGTACTGCTTCTGGCTTTCTAATTCTTCCACCTCTCATTCAAATGGGCAGTCCGGGAACAGCATTCACTGCCGCCAAGCCAAAATGCGGGGTTTATCTTTTGTCAACCAAAATGAGGCATTATTTGTATCTTGTTCGCACGAACTAAATCAGTTGGATCGTTCTCGACCCAATCGAGTATAATATATCAATTTGAGTTACATGTGAAGATCACAAAATGTTGTTTTTAGGTTTGCAGTAGAAAATAAATACATAACATATGTTGGTGATTTATCGAGATTGAATTTTATAAAATATCAGCATATTGACCCTACATGGATTTTAAGCAATCAGCGGCGGAAATATCAGTGACACTGAGCTGTTCGATTGCCAGTTAAAGACTATTGACAAACTATCCTTTGTAAAACGGACACCATTGAATCTCGAATAGCTTATTATCGGTTGCAGTGCGCGTCTTTCGGAGCACACAAACCAATTCATCCCCCCCCCCGCTCTCCCCGTCTCACGCTTCGCGTGTCGATCTCAACCCCTGCCTCATCTAGTGGGTCACCAGTTTTGTCTTCTTGAATCGTTGGACAACGTTCATTTTGTGTGTGTGTGTGTGTTGCAAACCCCTTCACTCCACTTGCCATCACTCACTTCCTTATGGGGCATCTGTTGCAGAGATATCGCGCTGAAACTGTTGAAAGAGGCGTGCAAATGCAGCTACGACAATTGGCGCATTTGGGAGAATATTTCTCTGGTAAGTGTTCTCACTCACTCTCTCTTTCTCTCTTTCACTCTTTGCATTTGAGTTGATCTATTCAATAAGCCAAATTAATAATATCGATCTTTCTGCCTCCATTCTTTGAATGTGCATAAATGGACAAACAATATTCCGTTAAGCGGATATCGGTCATTAGTCAAAGACTACCAGTTACGGAGTGAGAAAGTCGGGCGACTCTGCCTGAGTTCGAACTCACGAGCTACGCGAACTGATGAGCCGATTGCCTAGACCATTCGACCAGCATGGTTTGTCAACTGAACAACAGGATACGTGCCACCCAAACTGCTATAAAACAATCAACCCAGATTGCATCAAATATGTGTATCTTTTTTTGAACGATCCATATTTGTTTCCCTTGTCGTTGTGAGAAGTCCTACCCAAATTTCTTGACTTCTCTTCACCACCACCATCACCCCCACCCCACCCCCTTCATCAAAAGTCGTTCAGCGGCCTGATTTCCAACCAAGCCTTAGCCCTCAAATCACTTATCAGATCAGTTCTCATCCACCCTGGCACACTCACCGAAAAATGGCATTCTATCCTTACTTGATAATTGGAGGATTGCAATCGTAAACCAAGTCTCGCAGTCTAAAATACTTTCTCTCTCTTCCAAATGGTTTCACCATTGTTCATAGTACTGCATTAGGACCCTCAATCTTTGAATTTCATTCAACAATTCGTGTTTTAATCCGTCAGTGTCCGAATCCACTCAATGACAAAAATAAACAACACACGACTAATAATTGCCAAATAGCAGCATGAAACCCAAAAAATCTCGTTACTATTTGATCAGGAATAGGTCACTTGAATCTGTTCTCTGCTGAGGCCCCCCGGAAAATTTCCAGATGAGCAGTCAATCCGTGTTACCGTGCTCGCCTAGCTTTTAAAAGCAGTCAATTGACTGTACTGTGAAAATGGATTGAGTTCGCACTGATGTGTTGGGCTGGAAGAAAAAAAAGCAGTCAACTGATAAGCCATTATATATATTATATATATTATATTTTATTAGATCTCCCAGCATGCCGCTCAGTTAATTCCCTTTCTCATAGAATACTCATCTTCGAGTAAGGGTATATGCGGTCTTATTAGGATTGTAACACGGTAAATGCACTGACCCAACTAGCTATTCTGTCGTCATTTGTTTGACCTCCTTCATTCGGATAAAATCATCTACCTCTCGCGTCCGAATATCCTTGAGCATTGTTCCCATTCCTCAACTTAGCGCAACTAATTTCCCACTGAAATGTTCTCGTTCAAGTTGTATTTCACCGCCTCAGCTGAAATTCACGAGGGACACTGTGCTCACTCCCTCGCGGTCTTGATTCAGTGTCCCTACTAAAACCACATAATTGCACTTAATGGTGATGGAAATCTTTACGATGACCGACGAAGAGCACTGGAAAGCTGTTTCGTCTTGTTTGGTGCTCGTCAGGGGTGCTTACGTTTTGTGTCCCTGTCAAGATTCAAACCGCGACCCTTCGAGTTGGGACTTCAAACCCTTTTCCTTGAGTTACACGATCCGCGGTCATCATCATCTTGTGCAAATGGCTCAATCAGTTTTTCATCGCAATTAAACGCAATCAATCCTAAGAAGTAAAACCCATACCCAAGATCATCA